ACAGGATCCTACTACTGTCCCAATTGTATCCTGAAAGGGTTAATTCTCCAGATCTATCTCCTGCCGTCCATGGATGGGTACTGCAGGATTAGTTATCTATATACAGAATCATGGACAATTTGCTCCTAAGTCACTTAAATAACTTCATGATTTCTTGCTGTAACCCAAACATCATAAGCTAAATAAATAAATAAATAAAGCCACAACCAGGGGCTTTAGACATCTCTTGGACTGACCCATGTCCCAAAGACCAACCTATTATCTACACTGTGGCCAGAGCCATCATTTAAAAATGCAAATCTGAGCACATTACTTATTGGCTTCCTGATAAACAAAGGAATAAGACCCAAATCTTAAGAGGCTTACAGAGCTCTATAACAGCTATCCCACCTACCTTTCTGACATTATCCCAGGACTTTATCCTTCTCACTCCACAATCCAGCCACTTCATGGAATCCCTTACTGTGTCCAGTGCCCACTGCCAGGGCTATAAGACTACCTTCTTCCTGAATGGTCCCCTGACCAGTGCTCACCCTTTTCTACCTATACAATTAACTCATCCTTACACTTACACCTCAACTCAAACATCACTTCTTTAAGGAATTCCTTCCAGATCTGGTTAGATCGCTCATTATAGCAGTGCCTTGCTCCCGGTCCTTCTTCACAGCACTTATCGCAAATAGTTAAGTAAATATCCAATTATTTGTTACTGTCTGCCTCCCTTACTGTGATGTAAGCTCCACAAAAACCAAAACCAGCCCTACGTTGTTCAATGGCTGCAGCCAGTAAATTGCACACAGTAGGGTCTTCAGACATTTAAGTTTTACCAGCAAATGGTGAATATATCTAAGCCTTCTGGATATATTGCAGGGAAACCAAGATTCAGAGAGATCAGTCACTTTTCCAAGATTAAGTGTGACTTTGGACGCAATTGTACCCAGCTCTTTCTGTCTCCAAATTTTAAGCTTTTTGGATATTATGCTATGTCATGCTGCTTCTCAATCTAAACATTACCTTAAAGCAAAGCGTGCAAAATGGCAATCTGTGGGGTAGGGTCCAGCCTGTAGATATGTTCTATTTGGCTCACACAGGTGAATAAATAGCTGAAAATTTTCAACTCAAAAATATGTATAACCAGCTTCCTAAGGAAAACAAGACGAAACAAAACAAAAGAGGTACCACAGTCCCCATATTCCCACATGGCAACAATTGGCTGGAACTGAGTAACAGACGTCTCCTATGAGTAGCGTTACTCACTACTCTCTACCTTCCTGTTTCGCTCAAGATGGTTCACTGGCTCCCACAGACATGGGAGTTTGTTATCCCTGCCTTATCAGAAAGACATGAGATGAAAATTGTGCAGCTTATCTTTAAAACAATACAGCTTTCATTTCATTTATTTCTCCTCATTATTTGCAGGGAATTTTATCAGTCTTACTGATCATCAGTTTAGCAGAGCTCAGCATCTCTGTGACTATTGCATGCTTTAGAAGCAAGTGCTGGATACATTCAGATGAGGTGCGTTCAATGATGTTATTAGAATTAGCTCCTATTGGGACACTCCAGAGTGACTTCTGGTCTATTACTGGGCAGAGAAGTGTGCTCAGATGCTGAACTGAAACCTCTATGTTTAGGAAGGTCCGTCATCATTTAAAATGGCCCCACCCTTTGAGGTAACAATGCTTTTTTTTCTTGCCCTACCTGCTATCCTCAGTCATCCCTGTTCAGACACAAATCCTTATCACCCTGCCAAATATATAAAATATCAGACTTAATGGGAACCCAAATTTCTGTGATGTGGGGAGCTTATTTGTGGGTCATAAGGGGGTGTGAAACAATTTCCTATGTGAAACAATACCAGAGAGGAAGTAGAGAAAAAAATATTAACAGTGATACCAAATATCGTTTATAATTATATAGTTTATATTTACTGAATGCTGACTATGTTAGTCATTGCTATAATCACTGAGCATGGACTTAATCTTAACAAAACTATTATAACACCTTTATTTTGCATTCGAAGGAACTAAGGCACAAAGAACCTCTCAGGTATCACATAACATCAGGTTTCTGACTCAGGTAGTATGTATCCAGAGCCTGTTCTCTAAATCCCAAATACCAGTGTGGGCCCAGTGATTGGTGTTTTTTTTTTCTTTTTTTATATCTGCTTTATAGAACTAAAATTTACAAACAATAAAATTCATCCACTTTAAATGTACCATTCAATGAGTTTGGACAAATTGTAGACATCTGTTTAGCCAGCACCACAATCAACATATAGTTCATTTCTATCACCCAAAAAGCTTCACAGGACTCCTTTGCAGTCAATGTCCTTATCACCTAGATTACTTTTGACTTTCTCAAATTTCATACACACGCAATTATATCCAAAATAATACCAATGAGTTGATAGTGAAGGCGGGAATGGTATTTGTTTTCTGATTTCTCATCTAGATGTTATTTATGCTCTTTCTTATCTATGCTCTTAAGTAAGGGATGAAAAATAATTTGGAAATGCAAAAAAAATTAACATCGAAGATGATTCTGTCATATTAATCCCCCTACCCCTGCTTGGTTTTTTAGGTTGTGTTTTTCTTGCCTTCGGATATTCCTCCAAATAGTGAACAACCTGTCCCAGAACAAAATGCTCAGTTACAATTTGAGCTTCAAGAGGAGTCTTCCAGTGATGATACAACAATGAACCTGCAATCCTTTTTCTTTGGAGGCTATGCTTTCTTCAAGTTAAGAATCACAAGCAGTTCTTTAGCCTCCCAACCCAGGTCACACACACATAATAAAAATATTTACCACACAGGTTCTGCATCTGTGTCAGATGAACAACAGCAAAGTATCCCTCCACCTTCAGAGGAAGAACCTTTGCCTCCAGTTTTAGAAAGAAAGCCCTCAGAAAATATTATGCACATTCAGGAAGACCCTACATTTGAACGATTAAAAGGTGAAGACCTACAACTTGCTATTGATCAACCTCCCAAAATGCAAACCCAATTGGCTCAGGACCAAGCCTTGCCTCTCCAAGTTTTGCCATTCCATTCTGAACTAAAACTCCAACAATTATCACCTGAAGACTTGCCATCTCAACCTCTGCCAGTACAAGCCCTGCCAGTTCAAGACCTGCCAGTACAAAACATGCTATCTCAATCCCCATCATCCCACGGTATACAGTCTTTTGACCTGACAGCTGAAGACTTGCCCTCCCAATATACACCATCCCAAGACACATCATCCCAAGACACGCCTTTCCAAGATGTACTATCCCAAAACACACCATCTCAAGACATGTCTTCCCAAGATATGCTGTCCCAAGCTCTGTCAAAAGCCATGCTATCTGAAGCCTCAACACCCAATATTGAGCAGTTCCCTAATGTGAAATACCTACTTCAGCAATCCCCAGATCTTCAACCACAAAACAGTCAACCTCAAAACCTGGAACTTTTACAAATACCATATGAAGACATTCAATCAGAAGTCATGGAAGAGACCAAAAAGTGGGAATCTGCGGAGGAACTCCACAGAAAGAAATCCTCAAGAAGACATTCCTTAGCCCAGCAAACCAAAGGCTACCAGTCCCCAAGAAGGAATTCCTTAGACCAGCAAACCAAAGGCCACCAGTCCCCAAGAAGGAATTCCTTAGACCAGCAAACCAAAGGC